CGATCAAGTATCACTACATTCCCTTTCAGGAAACATCCAACTTACTTAAGCAACTCTGTTCTTCTTCTTTCTGATTTTACCGTGCCCTTGAAGTTAATTACACAATACGCTGATTATTTCTTTTATTCCAAGTGTTTCGATTTAAAAATAAAGATCCATTCAGTTGTTTTTCTGCGGAGAGCCAACTTGGTATTCTTTCCGTAAAGAACCTTGATTTTCATGCTCGCATGCGTAGGAATATTGGTCTTTCATTAAGTACAGTGATTCTGGTCGTATTTATATCGGGACCTTTAAGTTTCCATAAATATGAATTAGAACATTGAAACCAAAATAAACCACAATTCTGTGTACACCAGTCTTGTTATCCACTGCGCCGTCTAGACGTGGTCAGTGTCATCACAGGCATGGTGAAATGCTGATCATTTGACTATGGATATGGGTGGTAGAAGGCGAAGTTTAATTGATTAACTCATAATTTTGTCACTTGGCGTTGTCTGTTCGCTTTCCCGCAATTCACTTGAGTGTTTGTCCTGATAAAGACTGTCAGTTTTGTTTGACTGAAACGTTGACTGAAATGTGCATAGCCCGGGTTTTCGTGATTGTGTCTATAACCATCGTTTCATTGCATAGCAAAACTTATCATGAGAAAGTAACTCGATGTTTTCTTCAGGAATTGATTTGATTGGTGGTCGTAATTCTTCAGTCCGGATTTGTAGTCAAAGGATTCTTTTACTGTCGTTGAAAATGTACTGAGCTCTGTCCGTTTCCCTGTTTATGAAAGAACTTCAGTATTCCCACTGGCGTTTCGTTTCGTCCTAATGTGCCATCCTTCAGAGCAGTTAAACGCATGCAGTTATGTTATGAAATCGTCAACAGAGGCAAGAAATATGCAATCGAAATGATAATCCGCAGTTTCGAAGCAAAAACGTTCTACTCTACATTATCCAGCAGTACTACCGTGTCGTACTTCTGAAACCAGGACTCATAGGTAGGCAGCCCCTACGTAATCATGTGATTTCGTGCTTTCATTTGGCACGAAGTGGTACACGTTGATTTACTTTGGGAAAGCTAGCACCGGTCTGAATTGAAACCCACACTCTTGTTTTCATTTCGATTGCTACTCTAGTGCTCAGCCGATCGAACTACCAGGCCTTTATTCTTTTCACAAGCTTGAGATTCGTCATATTTCAGGTAGAATGTCACGTCTATTGGCCACAGTACGAGTTGCACGACTTCTGTAAAAGTCACGACATCACTT